ATTTTGCATTTGTCCCCGTTTCAATAGTCCCCTTAGCTGTGGCAAATAAAAGTATCGCATGGATTTTGCATCCACCTGTCCGCCAATCCACCTTGACAACGCCAGTGTCATCAAATATTGCACAAAATCTGCATAAAACATATTTTGCCGGCAACTTCCGCACAACACAACAAAAGCCATGCACACGATAATGGAGCTCCCAGCACTTGACGGGATTTCCAATAGAAATTGTCGACAACGACACACTGCAGTGTTGCCAGGCCAGATGCATGCATGTATCTGCTGGATACACGCATCCTAAGAGTGCACATAAAACGTATTTAGGATACAATGGCGCGTAATCTATGCCACTCGACTGGCAGCAGGAGCAGGGCCAACATCCACATCCACATCCAAATCCAAATCCAAAAAGTGCACAGCGCATGAATTTTGTTGTACGCGAGTTTTCCAGCCTGGCATTTTTATGATTGCTATGCAAATGCAAACAACAACTGGTAGGAAAACCAGGAAAACTAGGAAAACTCCCAAACAATAAAAACGAGGCAACGAGGCGTGGCATCTTTTGTTTGGTTTCGAGGCGATTTTCCCACCCACCCCCCGCCACAGCTGCAGCGAGCCCCACACCCGCGGGACTGCACGAAGAAACTCAAGTTAACTGAACTTTTTCCTCCGTTTCTTTTGCGGAGGAAAAACAACTTCGGAAACAAGAACAACACGAAAACACATGAAAAAGTGTGCAAATGTAATGAGAATCCCGTGATGGAAAGCAAACACGAAACGAAGAAGACTTACCCTCAACGGTATCAACGGTATCAACGGTATTGTTCACCATCTTTGTATTGTTTTCGGCTCTTTTTTCGATGGAATGTACAGAAATAATACGTTCAAGATGTAGGGTTTATCACGATAATCCAATTAAAGTACTGGAAATAAAGAAATTACAACAAATAAGAAAGAAATATAGTGTAAAATGTTAGGAAAATTATAAACGAAGGCTGGCAAGATCGGATGTTCCAGGGAGATTTTAAGACGAGTGGAACTTGGTATTCTGTCTGTTCGTGGGATATCTTTAGTTAGGGGTCTAAAATTTAATCCCATTTACCCCTCACTCAAATCAAACACAAGTCAGGGGTTGCCCAACACCAAACACCAGGTCCCAAATAAAACATGTATTAGACATTTAGCGTGGGAAGCATATCAGCATATATCAGCACTCCCCACACCACCCCAGCCCGGCACCACCCAGCCCACCCACGTCAGATGTCAATCAAAGTTCAATTAAAGTCAATTGCTGACAGAATGACAAACCTGAAGAAATAGCCCTCCATACAACAAACGGTACGGTACTCTCATTTAACTTAATTTACGACTCTTTTGGGCGAAAACCCACACACGCGCTACGGCGGGACACACATGAACAGTTAACAGATTTATGCATCGTGCATTGATTTGTTTATGGCCATTGAAATTTACGGCAAACAGAGTCCCATAACAAGATGCCATAACTACAAACAGAGTCCGAGGGAGTGCGCACCAACGAATCCCTCTCCGCTGTGCTGTTAGCCTCTGGCTCCTCTCTTTCTTTGTCTTACGCTCTAGCTGTCATTCTTCCTTTCTCTGGCTGGCTCTTTCTCTAGCTGCTGAACCCCTCAGGGTCCCTCTGTGTTCGCCGCTCTTTTTTGCTTACGGTTACCTTTTTCCTGTTATTTGTATGGGCTTGGGCTATTGGTTCTCTTATTGGAGAAAACAATAGCAGCGAACGGGAAGAAAATAGGGAGATAGAGAGAGAGAGAAGGATTCGTGTACCGAACGGGAGTATACCCTTGAAAAGGAGTTTTAAATGGAATAGGAAGCTGGGGGAAAGAAGGGTATTACAATTACTTTCATTTGCCTAAACGACGCACATATTCTCTCCCTATATAGCAAAGTCAGCCACAAAACAACATACCCTCAATCAATCCTCTCTCTCTCTCTCCCACTGCACTCCCTTGCTGAAAAGAACAGGCTGCGGCAAACAGCAAACAAAGCGCAATGCCAATAAGAAGAGTGACAGGCCGCTGGCAGAAATACAGTAAACTAAAACAGAGGCAGGGCTAGGCTCCAGGCACCGCAACTTTAAATGCCCTTTAAGATCCAATCCCTTTTATTCACATACGAGAGATATGTACATACATTTCCGTTCTGATTTAGCGAAGAACAGTAAATCAATATGATATTCACGCAGTCGAGTATCGAAAATACTCTGTAAAAGAGTATGCAAGCACACACACACTCTTGTATAGCACACACCACCGCTCATTACGGCAAATAAGAACAACAACAAAGTGCGAGAGGGGGGAAAAAACTGCGAATGCGACTGCGACTGCGACGCAACAGAAACTTCAAAAGCGTTGGCGTCGGGCAGATGATATTAAGAGAGAGATAGAGTGAGAGAGAGAGAGGGTAAAGGTGCTGTTGCAATTGCGCCGTGGGCAAAATGGAGAAAAGGGATCTTGCACCGGCTCAAACCGGATTGCAGTTGTTTGTTCGTTCTGGTTGCACAAACAAAGCCACAACTTACCAACGACAAATGCTGCACTCTTCACTGAACTCTTCACAAACAAAGGGTTAACACACGCACAATTGGCACAATTACACAAAAAGTACAAGTTCAACTTTAAATGTTTTATAACGGGAATCGGCTGGCGTTTTGGTATGCTTTTCTGTACGTTGTGATCGCGGCGACGAAAATTGAGCGAATGCGCCAGGAAGAAACCAGAAAGCAGAAAGGAAAACTAAAGCAGCGACGTCAGAGTGTTACAAGATAGGGTGGAGCATTTACGCTCACGAGTGAGAATCACTCTTGCTCTCTTGAAAATGTGAATGATCTGGTACGACTGGTGGGCCTTGGAAATGGCAATCGTGACGACTGCATGCTTTCAGATGCGATATACTATATATAAAACACACGATCATCAGGGAGAGCGAGCGCAATGCCTTACCCTGAATTAATGCACCTTGCCCGACAGCTGTACGTACTGTCTTTGTTGTGTTTGAGTTTGGCGGTTAAAATTCAAATTCATATTTTAAAATTTTAAATCAAATTCAGTTAGACCGCAAACCGGTTCCCACAGGTACAGCGGGAACGAGCGAATAGGAGGTGTATTTCACTTCCGTCAGAGTTCTTTCCAATTGAATCTTTTTTGTTTGCTTTTGTGGATGAATGAAATCATCAATTAGAAGACCCAGCTGTGCGCGAGGCACAAATATCAACAAACGATGGCAGTTAGAGCTTGAATAAGACACTCTTATCAGCACTTTGCAACCTGCAACGGCCATTGGATAGGTCATAAAACCCAGAAGCAAAGTGTCTGTCTAGAGATAGGCGGGTATTCCTAAGTGGATTGTAGTACAGCCAGTTCATTGAACCCCTCCTTGGGGACAGAGATGACACCCACACTTGTTGCCAACCGAAACAAAGTGGCAGACAGATTTCTCACCTACATTGCAATTACCAATTACTGCTCTGCTAAGGCTGGGCTGCCTTTCTTTTTTCTTTTATTACAGGCACACGCTGGGGTGTTGGGGTTACCACGGTTTAAGTGACAAATCAATTTAGCAGCAGCTACCTGGGGAGATACTCTCATAAAAAGTGAAATTTGATCGAATTGCCGGTAAAACTTGTCCACGCACCGTAGAAATAATGAAAAAACGAGTTCAGATGCGTAGACAGACAGAGGTTTTAACCGACAGTTTTCACCTGAAAACAAGCTTCGAATTTGAATAAAAATTGCTTAGCAAATTACTCCGCTAGAGGGGTGGGGGGCTCAAAAGACCCCTCAGCTTTTCTGCGGTTGAACAAAAGCCAGAAGCTCCGCTTAAAAGGGGAAAAATACAAACAAAGATCTTGCTGAATCAGTAAGACAACAAAAGAATAAGAACCGGCAATAAAATCCATAATTGACTTACTGGCAGTATCGCTCCACGACAGTCGCAGAGGGACGGGACGCATCTAAAGATCGCACTCACTCCCGCTGGCGTCTGGCCTTATAAGGCAGTGCCGAAGGTCGCCTCCGTTCCAGCGGCAGGACAATGAAGCGGGAAGCAACAAGCTATTTATATGTGGGCGTTGCCAGCTGAGCAAATGCTAATTTATATGATGATGATCATTAATTGTGAATCGGTTGAATCTGTACTTGGGGATTGAGGTTCCATTGTTTGCCGCTTTCTAGTGGCGCTAGTACGCAGCATGCTGAGAAACTTTTCGAAAATGTACCAAGTGCTGCGAGGCGCCACTGTGCCAGCGATATGTAAAGAACATTTAAGTTACATGTCGAATGACAGTGCAAATAGCTGTATGACATTAGACTTTACTAACTGACTTGCTTCGAAAACAGGTGAATTCAAATGCATGAATAGCCCTTAAAAATGCAATCTAACACAAGGTCTTTATTAATTACGTTTGAAAGCAGGTTGGAAAACAGTATCTTTATACAATATTCACGAAATAGGGTATACAAACACCCACACCCAGGTTGACAACAAATGAGTCTGCAAATACCAGCAACATTGACGTCACAACCTGCGACTATTGAACACTTTTGTTGACACCGTGTTTTTCTCAAAATAAAAAACAAGCAAGTACTTAAAAGTAGTTATTCCTGATCAAAATTGATTCAGCAATCATATAAAATTATCTGGGCAAAACTGAGAGATCTATATAGCTGGGAATATTCGACGGAAGAAAGAATAACCAGGAATTAGTCGTCATAACCGGTTGACGACAAGAGTCCCATTCCATGCACACATACCCTGGGGGAAATTAATGTTATAGAATTGTGAATATGATTGTCATCCCAGGCAAAAACAATTTATTTTCAATATATTTTAATATTATTCAATATGTCTTTTTTAAATGAGACGGTATGTTTCGGTATATTTCGGAGGGTCGGACGGTATATTTTATCGATAAATCCGCGGTCACACTGCTTAACACCTCTAGTGTACGTGGACTTTCACGGCACCAACAAAAAAAAACACGGCAAGCAAATAGATAATTACACTTAATTAAACAACGCATCACACAGAAAACGATGGAGAACCTTAACTAGAGACGGCAGAGCAGCCATTGCGGAAGATAAAGTGCGTATATATTTGATTGGGAATCCTCCAGCAGGCAGCGGATCGACCCAAATAAATGTGCCCCTGAGTCAGTGCCAGAGCTGATAAAACGTCGAAGTCCACAACAAACCATCGAATCGATCCAGTCCGGTCGATTTCCCGTGTTAATAATTGATAATGGCCCCGACACGCAGACCCAGCGATGGCCTGCTGGCCCGCGTCAATTTCCCCCTATATGCCGTGGATATGCTGACCAGCCGCCACATTCTGGTGGCCGGCGGCGGAGGTTCCAGCAAGACGGGTGTAGCAAATGGCTTTGTAAGTGGCCCCCCTCATAATAATCTATGAACACTGATTTATTGGTAATTGATTTTGTAGGAAATCTACGAGTTGTACCACAATGGCAGTCATTTTTGTGCCGAGGAAGTGCTGCGCCACGAGACGGGTGCCAATGTGGTGATGAATTTCGCGGTGCGAAACAATGGACGAAGGGGATATTTGTGTGCCGGACAGGAGGCTCATTGCCAGATGTACTATGTCCAGCCGCGCATCGAAACGGAGGAGGATGGTGGCGACAAAAAACCCAATCCCGTGGAGCGGCCCCATGAGAACGGGAATGTAAGGCAGCGCGGCGGAGCAGCAGCAGCAGCCCATTCGGGTGTGGAATTCATAGCCAATGGCCATAAACCACCTACCTCGGTCGACGATCTACTTAAGCAGTTCCAGCGCCTACGCTTCGACATCCAGGCGGCGGATGTGGTGCAAACGGACTTCCTTAAGAGCTCAGAGCCACTGCAGAGGGTGGTGCGAATCAGTGGCAATGGCAGGCTAATGGCCACCGGCGGCACCGATGGGAAGCTACGCATTTGGTCGTTCCCTCAGATGACACTGGGAGCCGAGCTGCCGGCGCACAGCAAGGAAATCGATGACCTGGACTTTAGTCCCGACAGCAAATACATTGCGAGCATTTCCAAGGATTCGCAGGGACTGGTGTGGGACCTGAGCACAGGCAAACTGCACCACAAGCTGCAATGGCAGACGCCCGAGGGGTCCAAGTATCTCTTCAAGCGTTGTCGTTATGGTACCGTGGAGGCGCACAAGGACAACTATCGCCTTTTCACCATTGCAAATCCCCTGGGAAAGGTGGGAAAACAGCGGGGATATCTGCAGCACTGGGACTGCGCCAGCGGCAAGCTGCGCCATGCGGTGGCCATCGATGAGAGTTTGTCCTCGCTGGCAGTGCGGGATGATGGTAGATTTGTGGCTGTGGGAACCATGTTCTCGGGCAGCGTATCCATGTACATAGCATTTACTCTGCAGGTGAGTGAGAGAGCGTTCTTTTTGGCCAGAAAAGAAGTCACATTATATATTTCTTTTGCAGCGTGTTCTGCACATTCCTCATGCTCACTCGATGTTCGTGACGGGTCTGCAATTTCTGCCCATAACCAACGAGGAGGGGCCGCCCATCTCGAGCGATACAGAGGCGGCTGTTCTGTCCATCTCTGTGGACAATAAAGTCTGCATTCATAGTCTGGCCCAAAGGCGTAAGCAATCGAAATATTTCAGTCTGATTTTGAGCGCTATTTTACCATATTTTTTCCTCTTTTTTCAGGTACTATCCCTGCCTGGATGGCCGTTGCCTTTATTATTGTCATGATATTCGCCGTCTTTGTGTTGTGCTCGTACATTGGCATCTGATGTCGAATGTTGGGTGACAAGTTAAATCAATTTGCATTATTAGTTTGTAAAACAAGGTTTAGTTTTTGTAATAGGCCACAAGACCCACGCCCACACCCACATCCCCCACATCCCATCCCCGTCCATTTCCCGAACTCTCGTTAATTAATTTAAGTGTATAGTTTTTTGTGCCGGCTGCCTTATCTCCCACACGAATTGCAATCTTTTGCTTAATTGTATAATAATTTGCCTTATCTCTCTCCCATTTGGCAGCTCTGCCATAATTGTAAATGATTGTTTGATTATAATAATAATTGGTGTTTAGTTATATGATCGCATTAAAAGCGAATCAAACAGGTGAATGAATGGACTGGTGGTGCCTCAACTTCCAGTTCCAGCAGTCAAATTACACAACTCATGTAAACTCAATTTTATAATCGAAATGTTTGTTAACCGAATACAGATGGGCTCCATCCCACTCATTCTACTGAATGAAACAACTTGATTTGTAGTTTATATTTGGAAAATGGGCGTCGAGCGACGTTAAGCGGAAATGAAACTAACTGATCTAAAATCTAGATGGATATCATAGATATAGCGACTACGTGTCGGCTATCTGATAAAGACAGCTTTTATAGGGTAATCTACAATTATATTAAGATAGAACTTCAGAACGATCCATCTCCAGGGCAGAATAAAATCTCCAGATCCGTATACAGTACAATATAGAACTCTGATCCTACACTTACGATGGTCCTCTCACTGAAGACAGTAATATGTAATCTGCAGTAGTGAAGTTAATTACTTTTGAATGGATATTTAATGAGCAGCAATAATTGATTATATGTTTTTTTAATTTAATTTAATTGGTAGTAGTTTTCGATAGACCATTAGAAGTTAAACATGTACGTTATAACGAAATTCTTTCAGCTCATTTTCATACCATTTTTTACCACCGAAGTATGTATCATATATTATTTTAATCCCTTAAGTATTTAAAAATCTTCAAGATCTCGGCAAAATTTGAGTTTACCAACGTCAAATGGAATACTTTCGATAAGGAATACAGCGTAGTAGACTATTGTTATTTAAAGTCGATAGATAGGACCTATGTACAAATACTGGTCTGTAAAAGTGCACTTAAGAATTTAATGGTACAAGTACACACAAACTCTATGAAACGTATGTGTTGTATTGTATATTGAAGATATACATATTTCAGGTCAACACTGCATTATATAAGCGACTCAGTGCATACAAGCCATTTCTCTACAATTACACTATTGATGACTGTAAGTTCCTGAAAAGCCGTAGGGTAACCCCTACTACCCCTGTTGCAAATTACTTTTTTGACTTTATTGGAAAGGACCACAAATATAAAACATGCATGACCGTATTCTGGAAGTTTTTGATCCAGTCCAATCAGTCTTTATGTCTTTATGGATAAGGTTCCTTTTAGTCTGCTCAACAATCTATTAACAGAGGTTCTGCCCTTGCCGGAAGATGACTAGCTTTTGCAAACACATGGATATGTTTGATAAATATATTTGAACCATAATATTTTAGCTAAATGATGGATTGCATAAACAGTTCAGTGGATTTAAAGCATTTCTCTACAATTTCACTGTGGATGGCTGTAGATTCTCATGAGTAGTCCCCCATGAGCAATCGCATCGATAATTCCTTATTTTGCCTTCTTGGAACAAACCACAAGCCACGAACCGCTCATATCCCTACAATGCAAGTTTTATTTTATTATACAGTCAACTTTATTGTAGAAAAGGTTCCTATTAGCCTTGCCAACAATCTATTAAAAAGGTGACTATCTTTTCAAAACACATGGAATTGTGGAGGGCATCATTCGAAGTGGAACTCTCAGCTAATTCGTATCTTTTGCTCTTTAAAAACTCTGTAAACCATCACATACGTAAAACATTTATAAACGACTTATTTTGAACAAATTACAAACAATTGCAAAACATTTCAATGCCATAATCGTTGACGCAATAAGATTTACTCTTATATTTGTCAGTTCGCGTCACAGGACCATCTAGTCTCATCCGTGGCCTGAGCACTACGCTGGCATCGAACCGTCCCTCACCAGGTCTGGCACTCAGACGTACCCTTATCTTATGAACAGCTCGTCCATCGTTATCACTTGCAACGTAGTCTACCTTTTTCCCCTTCTTTGTGGTACGTGGATAATAGGGAGCCTTGGGTATAGCATGTTTTATGTTTTTCTGCCTTCTACCGCTTAGGTTATAGGCGGCCAGAACTTTCACCAACCTCAACGACTGACACTGGGGATAGGGTTTGATTAGGTCATTGATGCTGTCAAGCACGAACTGTGCTGCCTTTTGAACAGAACTCTCGTTGGGGGATATCCGCCGTAGTTTGAAACAGAGACAAAAGTGGCCTGGTATCTGGGCGGTGGTGCAGTTCCTTTCATCCGGAATCGGAAGAAACAAACTGATGCCGCGATCGTTATCCAAACTGAACGTTCGATCCTTCACTTGATAGTCGCTCAACTGCTCCAAGTGGAGGACATCTTTGAGGGTTTCATGCAGATCGAATGTTGTAAGGAGACTGTGGGCATTTTGCTGAAGATTGGCCATGGCCAAGGGAAACCTTTCGGTCATCCATTCGGGGTAGAGGGCTATCAGCAATGGCTGTGAGATCTCCTCCATGCCCTGAAATGTTTGCGTGAAATCGACACCCTCACAGTCGGTGCCCTGGAATCTTAGCCCGTGATCGGACATCAGCAGGATCAGGGTGTGATTCATGATACCCTGTTCCTGCAGCTCACGCAATATCCTCACAAAGTCCTTGTCTATTGTCCGGGCATAGTTGAAATAGTCATGGACGCCCGATGCTTTCCAAAATAAGGAGAATGATGGCTTCTGTCTCATGTGCGGCATTAGCTTGTAGATGAATTCATAGAGAACATCCTCATACAGGCGTCCAGCGGTGCACTCCATAGATATATACAGCTTACCCAACGTCCTGGCCTCATAATGGGTGCGCTGTCGTATATTCTGCATCACGGGGCGTAAATAAAACTCCGTGGGTTGTTTTTTAAATCCCCCCCCATGCATAGTTAATATGTCATGCTGATCGCTGTCCTCCCCATAGCTGGTCGTGTACCCTGCCGCCTTGAAATCATCCCACAAAAACCGACATCTATCGAAGGTTTTGTTTCCTGAATGGCAGGTCCCATTCAGTTCTTTAGGGCTCCGGCCGGTCAAGAGGCGAAGCATATTGGCATAGGTGTTGCGTCCAATGCGGTTGTAGCCCCAGAACTCGGTATGCGGCAGTCTATCAATAAAGGTCGCCACCTCTGGAAAGGAGCGCAGATAGTGCATGTGCGACAACGAGTCAATGCCCAAAATCATGACGGAGAGTTTTTCATGGGTACGCGGCTTCCGATTTTCCTTCTTCGGCGGTGGCGGTGGCAGGAAAAACAGGGTATCATTATAGATAATTTTTCCATATGCGCTACATCGAATCCAAAAATACTGAACGCCAGTTCCCACCTCAAGGTATCTCCTTTTCGTGCTTAAACGGAAATATTGCTGGCCTATTCTTTTGTTGCGAACATCGTCCTTTCGTACAAATCGCACATATGCGCAACTGACATCGGTGAGGTATTTCACGCCACAACAGGAGCGTAACTCCGGCACGGAGTGATTGAAGAACAGGTAATTCTTGCCCTGAACAATCTTGGTTGTCAGTAGCTGTACCCTGGGGCATACAACTGTGCTCAATCGATGGATGTACGGCAGGACACGAGTCGCCAGAGGTTTCATTGCTTCCATGTGACATCCGTAAGTATTCACAAAATATTTTTCCTCTACAATATTTGCTGTCGTACTCTTTGGTTGTCGTGTGGTATTGGCATCCTCTTTGTTTTCCATAAAATGTTTTGCCTCGAAACTTTTATAATCGTTTTGGTTACCAAAATAAGTGAATAAGAGAATATACAATGTGATCAAAATCACGATAAAAAGCGCTTTAGCGCAACGGCTATATAATAATATTGATTTAATATCTCTCATCGTGGCAAAAAGCCTTTTTGAATTTAGTATTTATTTGAAGTTTTTAAGAGTTGCCTACTCTTATCACTGATGTTGAATAAAACGACCTTTGTCTGTTAGATTTAAGCCATAATCTACAGTAGATTCAAATCATTCGAATTTGGACTCACAATTCTCCACATTCAACCCTCCAAATGTACCCATATATCATTTAAATATAATTTTACGCTTCATTTTTATTGAATTATTTTTTTTTGTAATTTTTGTTTGTTTTCATTCTGCGCTTTTTACTTGCAATATTTGATGCTACAATTTATAACTAAATTATTAACTTAGCGTTTACAAAAAATTATGTATCTGACGCACTTAGAATATATGTTTTTGCAAATGTAATCTTCTGATTTTGTTATTGGTAAATGTTATGTTTGTGTTTCATTAACTTAATTATTCTTGCTTGCTCCTTGCTTATCAGTTCAATATTCTCCGTATTGTATATTTTTGAATTTTTTCGTTTAGCATTTATGTTTGTTATTCAATGACTTTGATTTCGTTTAAATATTTATTATGTATGTTGTATATAAAATATAAAATGCATATCAAATTGTGGTTAAAAGGGAATCGGATGAATTGATTATGATCAGGATAATGGGTGGCTGGGGCTTTTCTTTTCAGGGCGATAGGAGTGCGAACACCAAGAAAAAAGAATCTTGTTTGAATGACTTCCAAGATCCAGATCAAGGGGATTTTAAGAGCTCGAACCTATCCATTGAATAGATCCGTCCATCACTTGGGACCTGGGCTAAGCGAAAAATTAACGCAAAATCCTTCTTCTTTCTCGATGCAGTATAGTTTTGGCGAGCAGAGGTTTAATGTTTTGTTTCTCAGTAATAAATAGGTCTTTAGAATTATAGGTATATGTATGTATGTATATTATGTGCCAATATGGCCCTTATCTTGCATACATATCTCATTATCATTATGTATATTTTTATGTATATATGTATAATCATGCACGTAGCTTATTATTGTTTAGGGGCTGTATTTTGTATGGTTTTAATGGTTGGATCCTCGTTTAGCGTTCTTAAATACGATTCGTTTTAAAGTAGTGATGCTAACTCCTAATACCGACAATGCCAATTGTTGCAATTTGACTAATTAAAAACACAGGGGAGGGGGGACAACATAAACGATATACTAACTGCCAAATCAATTCATTAAAATTCTTTCAAAACAAACATTCAACAAAAATCGATCGTGCGATTGGGGAGTAATATTAATTTTAAAACAAATTTTTCATCAACTTCTTTTTTTATAATACTTTTGGCATTTTCTTTTTCGCTGCTAGAAAACAATTCCATTCCAGACGAGAGATCTACCATTCATAGATGCCATCTCCTCGTCGAACCTCGAACCTCGCGAACCTCAAAAGGAAAATTAAAACTAATTTCAGTTAGAATTTGCTGGACAGTCTTTATGCTGATTTTTTGGGGAGTGGAGGGCCCCACTACGAGGCCTTGGCGAACTGTATGACAGAGTTCATCCTCATCACCTTGGAGTTATTGATGGCATCCGTTAAGGTCGTCGTAGCCGATGTGGCGCCATCTCCTGCTCCCCCCAGCGCCGCCTGGCTGTTGTGGCTACTATCAGCCTGGCATGCCGTGCCATCGCCCTTGTTCATGTAGTGCTTGCGCTTCCTCAGCGGCAGCGTCATCACATTCCGATCGGCCATCATCAGGGAATCGCTTTCCGGCGAGGAGCTGCGCTCAGGCGACTCTGTGCTGGATCGCAGACCAATGGCTGCCTCCACGCGGCGCACAATGTCGGGATTTGGAAGGGCAGATCTGTGGGGAGAGGTTCGTTATTAGTATGCCTGTTTCTGGAGGAGATTGTAGCTTCAATACTTACTCATACTTGGGCACAGGCGCGTAGCCTTTGTGCAGGCCATGACGTGCCAGATCGCCACGCTTAAAGTGCTCGATGAGCACGGTGGCCTCGTGGGTATCGTCGTAGTTGGCCGCCAGATCGCTGACATGCAGCGTGGGCTGTGGCGATGGCGTTGGCTGTGGCTGTGGCACTGCCTCTGGAGGAGGTGAAGCAGCATGTCCACGGCGCAGTTGCATCATTTGCCAGGCAGCGGCATGGACATCCTCGTCGTTGACATGGTCCTCATCCTGACGTGCAATACTGGCCGCCTCGAGCAGTGCAGGATTGATGGTCAGGGGCTGTGCCTGTGGCTGTAGCTCCACTAAACTGGGCGTCGCCTGGTAGGGCTGGTAGACCATCGGTGCTGGCGGCTGGCTCTGGCTCTGGCTCTGATTCTGTTGCATGCTCAGATCCGTGGGCAACTCCTCGTCCGTATAGCTGCTGGGGGCGGGCTGGGCACTGGAGACGCCACTGTCCCGACTCAGTGCATCCGTGTCCAATGGCACGGCGGGCAGATATTGGACTGCGGATGGCGGCGGTGAGGCCAGGCTGCTGGCGGATGGCGAGTACGTGGAACTGGGAGAGCTGGGCGATAGTGGGGCCGAAAGAACTGGCACTCCAGTGACGGCCGCCTTGACTGCACGAGGCTGACGTGGTTGGCGAGGCTTCTTCACTGCCGGCGGAGAGCTTGGGGGAGAATTATTGCTGCTCTCAGAATTGCTGGTGAGTCCCTGCGAGGACGACGACGATGCGGAGGAGGTGGAACCCACTGCCGTTGCACCTGCCGCCTCGGCCTCATCGTCGGGTATCTCGTTGGCATGCCCCTTGATGTGGGCCTCCATCTCCTTCTTGTTCTTGAACGTCTCGTCGCAGATGGTGCACTTGTAGCACTTGGATCCGTAGTGTTGCACGCGATGCAGCTTCAGCACGTGATTGTACCCAAAATCCCGGAAGCAGATGTCGCAGTGATAGGGCTTCTCGCCCGTGTGCGTGCGGGAGTGCACCTTGAGCTGTTTGGAGCAGGTGAATCCCTTGCCGCAGCCCGGCTCCGGGCACTTGTACGGCTTCTCGCCCGTATGGGTGCGCATGTGGATCACCAGCTGTCCGGATTGGATGAAGGTCTTCTCACAGACGGAGCACTTGTGCGGCCGCTCTCCCGTATGGATACGCATGTGGCGATGCAGCTTTCCCGAATGCTCAAAGGCCCTGCCGCATACATCACACTTGTACGGACGCTCCTTGGTGTGGATGCGACGGTGCACCTGGAGGTTCTCCTTGACGCTGAATAGCTTGTGGCAGAATTCGCACTCGAAGGGACGTTCTCCGGTATGGGTGCGATAGTGACGGATCTAAAGATGGCAAAGAGAAAGTATTAACTGGGGATACTCTTTCGGAGAGAGCAGTCACACGACTTACCAGCCTCGCGGGCACCGCGAATGTCTTCTGGCACACATTGCACTGGTACGGATCCGCTCCGGCGGCCACATTCGCCAGCGGCTTGATGGTCGGACTCTTGGGTATGCCCACCGGCAGACCCGCTTCGTTCAGTTCGATGGGCGGCGATGTGGATGCGTGGCCGGGTGCTCCTCCCGCTCCATGCAGTGCCATTTCGGCATTCTTCGCATGCGACTTCGTGTGCGAAGTGTGGGCCGATTTGCTGCCGAACGTCATGCCGCACTGTTCGCACTTGAACTGTGGCTTCGTGCCGTTCTGCTTGCGCGGCTGCGCAGTGGCAGCGCTGTAGCTGGCGCTTGGCGGAGGCTCTGTCTTGACGCGCTGTGCTGCTGCTGCTGCGGAGGATGCTGCGTGTGGCGTCGTTGTTGTTGTTGTAATACTTTCATGCTGCTGTTGTAACGCCAGCTGATAGCTGTAGCTAACAAATTGCTGTTGTTCCTGGGACTGCTGCTGCTGCAGTTGCATTTGTCGCTGCTGCGGCGTCTGCAGCAGCTCGTAGTGCTCCTGCTGTCCGCCCAGTGGCGCCCCACCAATGCCCGCACTTGGCGTCGCCGTCAATGGGGGCGGCACCTGCAGGCAGAATTGCGTTTGGGCGGGTTGCTCCGTTTTTATGAGCAGCTGGTTAGCGGGATAGTAGACCATATTGGTTGTGGCTGAATCTGAAGAGAGCGAGAGGGGATAAAGAGAAGGGGGATTAGCATTAGGGGTACTACTTGCTGGTTGAATTTCTTAATCAAAGATACTACTTGTTAAACTACCTATCTATTCTATCATTTTCAACCTTTTCGCAAGTCCAGAAAACCCAATGAACCTGCTTTACAGGTTCCGTTCCCATTGATCCCGAGATCCTGCGTCACGGAAAAATAAAAAATAAATGTAACAACGCAAAAAAACCCCCCTCCAAATGTGCGATACCATTTATAATGAGGTACACATGTACGGGTGGTTGGGAAAAGCCTCTAGAGCGTGAGTGGAAAAGGGGTAGTGCGGGGGGCAAGGGAAAACCCACCCTATTACGTTCCTACTACGCACTTTTTCTTGTTATTGCCGGCCGGGGTTTTCCCAGAACCCAAGAAAACTTGACAGAGAGAGGCAGAGGCAGAGCGAAACTGGGGAGGCATTTTCATTCAGAATTACGCATTATAGAAAAATTTCCCTTTTCAGGGATATTTTCAAAAAAGACCTGAAGCTTTCCAACCGGCTTTGCCATGGCTCTCTTTCGCTTTGACGCGGCTCTCTCCCTCTCACTTTTTGTTTACTGTTATGATAAAATAAACCCCCCACACACACACACCTCCCCCCCCAGTAACGGAACAGCGTATACCAAAACAAAATGGCGTCGCGCGGTGAACGGGGGAGCCCTAAACTTTTCCGGCAGCAAACTTTTCCCGAACCTTCTTTCGCGTTTTACCTTTTGCATTCGATTTCTTGGGGGCAGCGACGGGGCCCGACTTTGGCTTGGACTTGGATATATCCACCAGTTCAGTGCCCGATTTGTGGAGCACATCTTTAATCCATATCTGCTTGGTGGCCCAAGTTTTTGCGTCATTCTTGCTTTCAGTCATCTTCGAGTCTTAATGGTATAGTGGGGGTTTTTTTGATTGATTTCTAAAGTCCATTCATTGTTCGCCGGGAAAAGTGTAAATCTTTTCCAGTTTTCAGTTCCATCAGGTTCTTGCGTTAGGAGATCTTTTCGTTTAAATAGTGATAAAGTCCATATAAAATTGATTCGTTCATTGGGGTTTATAAAAATCAGACTTTAGCAGCATTTTAGTCAGTTTGTTTGTTCCATCAGTCCTTGGTTTTTCATAAGATTATACTAGGTTTTATTCTAAGTTTTTTTTTTCAGATTTATTAGTTTTAAAAAGTTATTTAGTTGTTTATAATTTATGGATTTATTTCGTTCTTTTAAACAAGAATCTTCATTTGCCGAGTGATTTTCTCTTTGATCAGATTCTTCTTAATGATTTTGATGATTTTCTTCAAATCCTTGGACTGTTGCACGGGATAGGTGTGCTGATAGGCCTGGATATTCTGAGGATGATTCTGCTGCTGCTGCCGCTGCTGGGGATGATGATACTGGTGGTGTCCGCCCTGACCGGTGCTCTTGTTCATGCGCATTTTTCTAAACGATCTCAAGATATCGTTCATTGAGAAATCAGTCATTTTTGTCGATACACACACTTTGCACCGCACAGCAACCGCAACCGCCACCGCAAACCGCAACCGCCACTGGGATATGGATCTCAGATGAGTCGAAAACCGGGGAGTACCGGGAGTGTTCACATTGCCGCACGCGTATCTATGTAGTTCTAGGTCTGATGTTGCAACGGAGACTGGTGGGTGAGTGGCCGAAAAATCTGCCTCGAACCCCCCAAAACCCGAAAACAGGAAAAACCAACCACCAAAAAACCAACAAGAAAATGTTCCCATTTGATCTGAAATTTCCCTTCAAATTGGAAAATTGTTTGAGCGTTGAATGTTCGAAGAGGGACATTTTTGAGTGCGTTTGAGTGAGTTGCAGGGGAATTTCTGGTCAGACCACCAGAATAAATTCCCTATGATTCGGTGCTGGAGTACGGAATGAAATGAGTCATTATAAAATAAATCAAATTCTTATCTCAGCTTATTTCGCAATCTGTCTTAGTCATGATGACTCTGGCGGTTTTAATCTATATAATTCCGGTATCTAAAAGCAACATTCCCCCAAAAAACAAAATACATAATAAATAAAGACCAAAAATAGCATTCGACTATAGTGCAAACCGTTTGTGGATAAAGATCCTATGGCTGGGGTTTATATATGGCATATGCGTATGCCTTGCACAATGTCGTTTGAAGTGTGGGATTTTTCGAGATCATAAAACGCTATTATGATCGTAAAGCTGGTAATTAGCCGATAATATAGATAGCATCACAAGTACTTTCATTAATTTGTTGTATATGAATGGTATTTATAGCGTCTCAAAGTACATTTATAGAACAGAAAGCTAATCGCAGAGATATACATATGAGAATTATTAGAAAATAATCTTTTACTTGTACTTTTCTCTAGGGATTTACCCATCATATCTATATCCTTACTTTTCCCTGAGGATTATCTGTTCTATTTCCACGCTTCACTTTACTTTCACTGTAGATCCCACAACTAATAACTCATTGGTGTTCGTTCTCCCCACCTCATAGATCTCTCCTCACCAGATATCTATCTATAGAAAGCCAACGACCAAGTTCCACCTTCGACAACTCAAAAAATATGAGAAACCCTCCCAAAAGAAAAAGACAGAAACAACCGGAGAACAAAAAGCAAATGTTCAAAAAACTTTTTTGTGTGGAAGGCAAGTTCAAAAAACTTTTGTCAGCTTTTTTGTTGTTGTTGTTGTGATGTTTATTCGGGCTGTACGTTAAAACTAGCGCAAAAGTTCATTAACATTCGACACAAAAACTATTTCTGTGTGGGTATACGAGAGTATCTCTGTGTGGGGAAACGATCGCTCCGCTCTGCTCTGCTCTGCTCTCCTCTCCCCTCTCTCCACCATCTCTGTAGTTTCTGAAGGTAAGACCAGAACAACAAAACACCGAAAATGCTTCATAGGAAAAATACATTTATCTATTATGAGGTTGAAAGCAAACCAAAAGCCCCGTGCACCGTGCAACGCATGGCACGGTCAATGATCGGATGTTAGGATGGATGGGTGGATGGTTCGTTGTTGCCGAGCAGAGATAGAGATACTAGGAAAGAGAGAAGTGGCGGAGAAGTCTCCCGCTTCTGTCTCATATCTCTCGCCGCCATATTGACCGAGTCGAAGTGCCGTTATTTTGTTGGGATAGCTCTGAAATGGAGCGGCTTTTGAAACTGGTCTTGGGATCGTGTTGTAGCTGGGCGTATAAGGTATGAGGTGTAGGACGGTGGGTTTTAATGATCATGTTTGGATAGATCAGTAAAGTTGCTTGACGGGAAGACCTTTTATAAAAGAGATAACTTATGTTTTGGATGGATAATAAGATGTACTTCCAAAAGAAGTATTTTAATGAAAATTTGCCAGTTTTCAACAGTTTCCTCTGCATTCTAGTGGTAGAAGAAAATCGTAGAAGAAAATCGTAGAAAAAGTGGTAGAAAATCGAATCCAAATGAAATATACATACAGAAATAGTACTCAAATCATCCATACTTCCCAAAAACGTTCCATTAAATACCTAATACGTTGCTTAGCTACGGATTATTAAATCATAAAGCTAAACTAATTATGCACCTTAGACCCTTAATCAGTATTAAATATTTCCCCCCCTTCGTGACTATTTATATCCCACCCAAAATCCACTTAAGCTTCCATAAACACCCCGACCCTCGGAGCTACACCTAAATCTACAGATTCCCCCCGCTCTCTGCCCGCTACCCTACCTTTTCGTAGGTGTATGATATGGTATGGGGTTTGTTGAGTCTGGGTCTGGGTCTGTGGCTGTGACTGGGCTTGGTGTTCGTTTTGGGTTTCTTCTTTCGCGGACTTTTGATGGGGTCAATGAACATTTAAATATAAGCAAATTGTAAGCTTTTTCATTCTCTCTCCCGCGGCTTCATTCACCATTTGTTTATGTATTTATTTCTGGGTATTTTCTGTGCTCTGCTCTGTCCCCGCATATCCATTACAGCAATCGGAGCGCAGCGCACTTATTTGTATGATTTTTCACTAGCTTTCGGTTTAATAAAAACAAAGTTCGATGAGCCCACGCGATAAGATAGAACTAGAAAACTAGAGGTTCGGTTGTCCATTTTAGTACGATTCTTTGTGGGAAATTTCAATATACTCAATGAATACACTATTTGCTGTAGCTCTTCAAAACGGAAGAAACTATGGGAGCGATAAGATAATGATACTCGTGGCAAAGGGGCGTAGCTCGGAAATTCCCATGGGTTGACATTTATAAGGAAGTGCAGTGTTTTTATGTGTGGAAAATCCCCCTGCTAATGGGGATTCCTTGGAAAATCTCTGGGGGAACTATCACAACAATAAACGAAGGCTATCTTTGGGGGCAAGAGCTCTTCAGATCGATGATTCCCAAGGCAAATATATGCATAATAAATATTTACTTAGATACCCTTTTTGGTTTACAAATATAAATGTTATATTCTAGGATGGAATATTTCTAGAAATTAAACTATATTTTTGGTGTATAACGAGTATACGTAGAGGCTACATGAGTATATATATTTTTATTTATATTGCGAAGGTCTAGACACGAAGTCTGACTTTGGGCTGCGCTGCCGCGGCCGCTGCTTCTGCTTCTGCCGCTGCCCCTGCCCTCTTCGGCAGCGACGCAGCTGTTAGGCCACGCACATTTTGCGTGGGGGCGACAGCGGTTGGCCTAGGTCAAAAAGCAAGCAAGCAGCGCGTCGGGCGAGTAATCAGCGAGCGAGAGTGTGGTGTGAGAGAGAGAGGTCGAGAGCACAATCAAACTGTAAATGACGCAGCACAGTAGGAGGAGAGGGATGGGGAGAGCACAGTAGCAAGAGATGGAGAGGGCTGTCGCGCGTGCACATAATATAATGACAGATCTAGAAATTGTGGCGTAATGGAATCATCCAACATTTCGATATCTGGCGAAATTTAATATTTTTCCATGGAAAATGCAACAAATTTTGCAGGAAAACTTAAAGCTTCATGCAGCCACCTACCCCCAATGACAGGTTTTCACTTTTTTTAGCAAGAAAATGGCGCATCAGGCACAACCTTCCCTTTCGTTTGACATTCCTCCTCCCCCAGGCAGGCGACAGGGGCCCACCCACGGCTGCGCTGCTCTGCTGCTGCAACAACAGGCTTACTCATGACAAACCAGAAAAAGAGAGAGAGAGAGACAGTGAGAGAGAGTGGGAGAGGGGGAGAGTGCTGCTGCCGATGTTGCTAGCACGCGCATTGCTGTCTCTGACGTCGAAAACTCATGCACGGCCTCCTTATGGCAACGCCATGCTGAGAGCTGTTTCGTGCGCGTGTCGAAAACATTTTCACGCCCTCCACGTGTAGTTCAAGTTCAAGACAACAACGAGAACGAAACGAAGCGAGGCGAGGCGACTGTGTGGTAGTATGGGAGTGCGAATGGCGACATTGAGAGTGTGAGAGTGCAGCAAAAGCTTGACGCTGCTGCTAACGTTAGCTGTGCAGCTGGCGCTGGCAGAGCAGCAGTGCAGTCAGGCCTCTGTGTGTGTGTGTGTGAGTGCACGCAGTACAGGGCCTCTGTATGAGTGTTGGTGTGTGCATGGAATCGGCCTCTATGTGTGAGTGCACGATTTTTGCATTGCATACTTTTTTAAACCTTTTTGTGTGAAGAATTATTCATTTATATAATTTTTAAAGATGAGTATTCCCAAGATTTGGTTGCAAAATTCTAGAATATTACTGCGTTGAAGCTTTAGGACATACAAACCGCTCCACAGAAAAACGCTTCCCTACACAGAAAAACGACATATCTAGCAGCAGGCAGCCAACCTCATTCCAACATTTGCCATACAAAAGGGTCAACGAACTACTCGTTCAACACAACACCAACAAAAAAGCTCAACGATATTTTGTTCGAAAAATGTAAAGAAAAGAAATCCGAAAACAAATTGAGCATGTGTTGGTGTGTGTAAGTGAGAGAGAGAAAGAGAGATGTTCTTTCATTTTGTCGAAATTTCAGCTGCTGCTTGGCGGACTGTGGGGGGTTTCAGGGGAGACCCCGACGATCGTGCCTGTAGCAGCAACAACAACCACAGTCAATACATAAAATTTTGTGAAAACCTCAAAAATAAATACAATAAAAATACTTGTACATACGAGTACAATCCACAAAAAATACCAACAGGCAGAAGAGACAGTCTCAAAGAGTAGGCGAAGCCACAACGAAGCTCTGGATACCCTTAAAGAGTGAAATTTGGCTGGGAAAAGCCTTAAATAATGCAATCTGATGCTGATCGAAATTCGTTGGGTTCTGTCAAGCCTTAAGTAGTGAGTACCTATGAATTTTGAGGGTGTAAACTTCTGCTTAAAGTTATAATACCCTCTCGGAAAGGTGCAACATCGAAAAAGGAGGCGGCATGCACAAGTGTTTTCTTTTTTCTTTCTTCTTTCCTCCTTTTGTCCGCTGCAAGCAGCAAAAGGGGTGAAAGAAAGAGGATGGAAGGAGCGCAGACATACACTTT